CCTTTCTATATAATAGCACCAATTTCAGCAAAATTGTTGGGCCGGGGGCATGGCAGGAGGTTTTTTTACATAACCACTATGTGCAGATCTCTGTTCTCCCTTTTTTTTTCATTGCCACGGTGTTGTTTTTCTACCTTGTTTAATGAAAGCATAGGCTGAGGAAGACTGCAGTTGAAACGTCTCACCTAAGAACAGCCTGTTTGTTAGGTGACAGTGAGCTTGAGTCAAAGGGCACCTGACTGGAGGCCGAGAGACATGGATTCTTCCACCTGTCTGTGTCTCAGCTTCCCCATCTGTGAAGTCAGGGTAATGGTTCTTGAATCCCTCAAAGTCCCTACAGTGCAAGAGAGGAACTGCATGTCCCAACATTATTAATATAAAATCCCACTGTTAAATCAGTGTTGAAGGTTGTTGCTTGTTGGCTTTGCAGGTAAAGAAGGATTTTGATGCACTTAAGCAGACTCAACAGGATGGGCAGTATGCTCAGAAGTCACTGAGGTATTCCGCAGAGAAACTCATTCCCAACCACCAAATGAATGAGAAACTGGAAACAGGACACCAAGAAGCTACCATGGAGCTGCTGAAACTGAAGGACAGGGCAATTGAACTGGAAAGGAATGTAAGCCGCCTTCTATTTCCTGTTATCTCTCAGACTTCCCGTTTGATCATGAGTGGGTTGCTGGGAACTGGATTTTTGAGCTTATAGGAATCTGGTGGGTTTTCTGGAGCACTTAAGTCTACCAAATTCCTCGGGTATCTCTTAGGACTGCACGGGACTTTAATGCTATATATGTCTTGTATAACATCATTGCAGGGATTAACATCTATCCTACCTTCATTTAATGCTGGGAAGAGTTTGCTTTTGCACATTTGTTACAGAATGATCATCACTAATTGATTCTCATCTTTGATAGGACTCCAAATGATCAGGACAGCTGTTTCATTTCTTCCTGTCACTCCTTCAATGCCATCTCTCTTTCAGAATGCAGTCCTGCAGACTGAGAAGCAGCTGCTTAAAGAACAGCTGAAGCATTTGGAAACACAGAATGTCTCCTTCAATAATCAGATCCTGACACTACAGAAGCAAAATGTCTTCCTTCAGGAGCACAACACTGCCCTGCAGACACAGACGGCCAAACTCCAGGTCAGGACAGCCTTGCACCTCTGTGCCAGAGGAGTGGATTTGATTATAGTGGCGTAGAGAAGATGACAGCTAATAAGAAAATGTTTGTATTGATAGTCTGATGTAGTGATGTAAAGATGAGGCCCATAAGGTGGAGCTTATTTTGAGGTCTGAATTTCTCCAAGCTAAGAGGGAAATTGGCTCTGTAGCTAATGTCTGGTAGCTGTCTTCGTTAAGAAGGTAGGTAGGTAGAGAGAAATTTGTAAAATCAATACAGCAAAATCCAGTTATTCCAGAAGCTGCACTTCTGGAATAAAAGATCTTTGCTCTTTTTTTCTGTAATGCCATGCCTGTGAAAGAGCTTGGAAGAAATGGGAAGAGGGCACAAGAGGCATTGTAGGAAGGGGTTACAATCACAGTTTTCACACTTTCGGACAAAATGTCAAAGTTGCCAGTGGAAAACAGATACTCTTAAACATTACTGTAATTTTGAAAAAATAAACTTAGCTTGAGAAAGAGAACAGTTTTAAAGGATAACATTGGATTAGCTCTTAATTTTTTTGATGGGAATTTCCCTTTTCAATCTTTTCCTCTCACATGTTCACAGATTTTTTTTTTTTTTCTGTTCTCTTTACTTATTTCTCACTTGCAATTGAAGTATATAAGCAACATAAAAAATCAATGCGCTACCTATCTACTGAAATCAGACTTGTTAGGAGTGCTGCCCCCATGCACAATGGTGCAGTTAATTTTATTGAGTTTGGGTGAACTTAAGTTTTCGTTACTTGTACACAAACATGGGGTAACTTTGGCTTTGCACATGATTGTCAGAGTTGCAGTTTAGTTGCGAGTATTCCAGCTCATCTTGGTCTTCAGGCTCAAGAGCTTCTGCTAGTAAAACAGTGTTGTTTCAGTTTGGAGATTATCCTGATACTTTTCAGACCGCTGATAGCATGGCTTTATATGGTGCATACTACCAGCAATACCAAAATGATGCCAAATTGTACATAAATGTCTTAAGTCTACAAAGCAATAGATGCATTCTTGATTAACCCTCTACAGATACAAGCTGCTACTACATTTGTTGTATGTGCCAGTAGGTGTAAATAAGTAATGCTTGCTTTTTATTTGAGAAACTTTAGGTAGAAAATTCAACCCTGAGCTCCCAGAGTGCTTCACTGATGACCCAGAATGCTTTACTCCAAAATCAGCAGACAGCCAAGGAGAATGAGAATGAAAATCTACTGAAACAGAAGGAGCAGCTGAAAGCTGAGTATGAGTCATTGCTTCAGGACCATGAACACCTTGCTTCACTGCATGAACGGCAGTCCGCAGAATATGAAGTGCTAATAAACCAGCACAGCTGCCTAAAAACGTTACACAAAAACCTGGATCTGGAGCACAAAGGTCTGGGTGAGAGGTACGCTCACTGCTCAGGCGTGTAGTGTAGCCAGAATGTGTCCATGTCCATAATCTTAGCCTTAAATGTTGGTATCCAATCACAAATGGAAACTACAGAGTAAGTTGTTCGCCTGAAAAAGTGTCTTCTCATTCTTGCTATCATTAGGAGATTAGATGAAAATATTTGCAAAGTTATAGATTTTAGACCTCTAAAGGTGGCAGACCACAGATGACTGGTGATAGTTAGCAAACATGAGCTTGGGTCTTGGGGATGCTTTGTCAGAAGTAGCTTAAATGTCTTTACTACATTTAAGGATCTGCACTATAATAACATGCAGCCTTAAAAAGATTCTCCCAGTTCTACTGTGTGGGGTATCTTTTCCAGTCATACAGTAAGATCTGCAAGTCATCTAGGTGATTACCTATGTGTGAGTCGTATGTATCTTGAGAAATTTAAATCATTGAAGATTGTGTGTGGCATCAACCTCATGACAAAGGAGGCTCCCTGAAAGAAGCCATATTGAGCTAGCTATGAGATAGTGTTGTATTATTTATTTTCTTCTAGTTCTCACAAGGCTTTTGCTTCAGGCCCTTCAAATGAATTGTGAAATCGGAGTTATCTGTTTATTGTTTAGTCTCTAGTCGCTGTTATTTTCTGACAGTTGTGTGTGGATAGAACAATATATATAATGTACTACTACATAAATGCCACTCTGCCTACCCCTCAAAACTTTTCTTACACAATTCAGTGATTTTCCTCAAAATATCTGTATTTAGGTTCAATTTCTGTGCAAGACCATGAGTTGGGTTTAGAGCAACTCAGTGGTGATATTTGAGGGTAGACTACAAACTGGTGCTAAACTTTTTTTTTACCAAAGACTAAGGAGCTGGCAATACAATGTGTGGTAGATTTTGATAAAATACAAAAGTAAACCTATTGTGATTAAAATACTACCAGGGCTGTGTAACAGGACAGCTGCTTGGCTGTCAACTAAATGAGCTGTAAGTGATTACACAGCCACTGTTCCTGCCTACCAAGTCTCTCTCAGACTGATTAATGGTTCTCATTGATTCAGACTTTGCTTGAGATTATCACACTGTGGTCTGCTGAGGCAGTTTGCTTGGTTCTTTCTTTTCTTGATGAGTACCAATTATTAAACAGTTCTAGCCTAAGGAAAAAGTGGTTTTCTAAAAATAGGTTATCTTTAGTGATAAGTGCTCAGATCACCATTGTAAACATTAACCGTTTGGACACTCTGTTACTGAGATGGGGCTGCCAGTGAGAGATGTTGCAGGGGAGCAGATGGTGGCCTTTTCTATACTCAAAGCAGGTTGATTTTGGCAGTTTTAAGAGTGCAGTGTCCTCCTCAGCAGATCAGTCTCAAAACATACTTATCAAGGTGATTTGTCCAAGGACAGCCTGTGTCTCCATTTGGCTGTCAGAAAAAAGAGACAAGCCACTTTTTGTGTGTGTGTGTTTCGTTTTCCCTCCATCATGTGTTATGAGCAGTTCAGCTGGCTGAGGGAGCAGAGGGGAGAAAGTTAGAAAAACAGCTGTAAGAAAATTGTTTTCTTCTGCCGCTCTGAGGCATTTAACTGCTAAGGTGAAGTATCGCACTTTCAACTTCAGCTAGAACGCACCACCTACTAAATTTTCCCAGAGAAGCTCAGTACAGCCAAGAACTTTGCTTGTGCAGTGTCTAAGAGACGGGTTTTGGTTGTCCCAACTCCAAGGTAATTGGTTTTTCTCAGTTGGTGGCAGCACTGCAATCATAGTTCTGTTGCTTAAGGCAGAATTGCACTCTTGCACAAACCTATGACTGCAGCTCATCTAGAAAAATCCACAGCAACTTTAGTTAGCTTGTGGACTCCTAACACCGTGTACAGCCAAGGTCCGCAAGGTTTGTGTAGTTCATTCTGATGCATTCTAACCACAGGATATTTTCTGCACCTGAGCAAACTTCATTAAACCTCCCTCGACTCTATCTGCACAGTATTAGCACTGCAGTGGGGATTTAACAATGGGTTGTGTGTAACTGCAGTGAAATGGCCTGTCATAGCCCAGCAAACCACAGACATGTGGGTTTGACCTAGCAAGAAAAGGAGAGTTAGTATGTTAGGAACATTTGCCATTAATAGCAGTTTCTTGACTTTGTGGTGTTTGGCTGACCATCTCAGTGAGCACAGAAAGGCTGGACTCTTTTGTTGCGTTTTTTAAATTGCTTTACATATTGCACATTACTAAGGGGAGGTAATAACTTACTAGCTACAATTGATTAGCAGATCCTTGAGCATTTCTTTGTGGCTTACCCGGAGAAGTCTAATCCTGCAGAGATACTGGAAAAACTCATCTCACTGGAAAAACAGAATCCCTGCTGTGGACGGTTACATATTGCAAGGACTTGTATTATTATGTTGCCAGTGCTGCTGGTAATTGTTTTTCTGGATTCCTTTTGCCAGATGCCTTTTACCATAGCTGAGCATTTTTAAAGTTCTCTCAGTCAGAAATACCTACCCACAGTATTTCTCGAACAAAGCGGCAGAAAGAGTGAAAGCCAAAAGGAATAAAGAGGAATATGATTGTTCAATGCCAGGAATGGACTGCATCAGAGCCAAAATGGATTTTATTGGCATGTTATAAGAAAATCTTTTTAAAACCCCTCTGTCCAAATGCCTGATGCTTAAAGAAGTGGAGTGAACATGAGTGTTGAATAGCCTACAGGATGGGTAACCTTGCCCCCAGTGGTAGAGTTTATCAGATTGCACAAATCCTGCTCAAATCGTAGAGCAGCTCTATGCTGAATCCGGACTACAAGAAAATTTTGCCTAGGGGTTTCATTAGGGCTCCGGAGGTGCAGAATCTCTTGCATTTTTGCAAACAGTCTCTTCCTTCTTACCTTTCACCTAATATCTGTGGGAACAGCTGTGGTCTACCTCAGGGGTTCTCATGCTCAAAGGCAGCATGTGGAGCTGGGCCAAGCTGGTAAAACTGGACCAGTATACTGCTTCCCTCTAAGTAGCACTCTTTAAAAAATAGAGGGCTTGGATAAAAATGAACAGAGTAGCCCTATCATACAGAAATGGCAAAAGAATTCACAACACAATTTCTGTAGAGGCAGCCATGGTAATCTCTGCCAAGGGACTGACGGAGGAGTTTGTCTTCGCAGACTCTGGATTGGCGTGCAGTCTGTCTTAAATCCTTCTTGGAGCTGGATGTGAAACCTTCCTTTGCTTTCAGGTTCTTCCATTTGTTGTATGGACATTGAATTCGAAATGTCCTGGAGCTGAATGGAGGAAGAAAACAAATAAATAAGGTTAATTAAACTCCACTGCTGTTACTGGGAATGAATAGCAAAAAGCAGCTTTTGTCTGGGAGACAGGTACTTTTCTGTGTGGCCCTTCAATGGACTGGAATTTGGGATAGGCTGTAATTTGACCCTGGGACAAAGGGAATGGTAGCCTGAAAGAAAAACAAGTTGGCAAGAATCAGTGTATTTGGTGCTGTCTGCTGCTTTTGTTTTTATTTTGAAGTTTTCGTGACTGCAGAGTAACTGTGCTCTGCATTCATCTCCATTGGGATGAGAGTTGCAGATAGATGATCCTTGTTCTCTCTAGCTTTTTCAAGCAATGCTGCAACTTCCACCTAGTTGCTGTTTTAAAATTGCTTGGAAGGATTTAGAAGACTTAGAAGATCCCAGCCTGATTGGCACAGGTGTATCTGCCCAGGGATATTTCGAGGCAATATCCTTTTATCACAGTCAGAAAAATGTGCTGATAACTTTGGACATTCACTGCACCAGTGTCCCCAGTGGCTTCTGCTGGTGTATGTGTATGGGCACAGACCCTGACAGAGACCACCAGAGGAAAAAGTCTTCTGAGAACAGCTTGCTGTTTTTCGAAGGGGTCTCAAGCCACCTCGTTCTTTGCAGCGTTTTGTGAATGCAGGCGGTGTAGTAGCTCAGGGAGGCTGAACCTCCTAATCGATGCCTGTGCCAAGTATCAGGGGAGTTCCACATCTCTGTTATTTTAGCATTCCAGAGATCAAAATTAAAGACACAGTTGATGGCATCTGCCCTCTGTCTCTGCCCGTGTGCCCGCCCTGAATGATTTATGCACAAATTGTATAAACCAGGTAACAGTGGAAGCCTGGATGTGAACACTGGTGTTGCTCTTGAGTTTCTTACTAGTGAATAAGTAGAGCCACTCAAGCAGGTGGGTCAGCCCCTGCTTAAAGGTGTTTTGCTGTCAACTCACTGATACTAGCCTCATCATCTGTCTGGAATATGCAGGAGATTATTACCTATGCAGGATGCTGTTACCTGTGCATATAACCTAATATGCGTTAGGTTGTTACGTAATAAACTGTTGCTCATTCCACTTGCTTTCTTGTTGCTTTTTGGCTGCTGCTTTCTGCTTTTTAGTCAGGTTTTTGAAACCTGCCACTGACAATTATTTGTGAATGGGGTTCCAGTTTAATGATGCAGTTTTCACTCACCCTGGAGACTCACATGCTTTTTACCAAATGATCAGAATCTGGAATTGAAATAAGGTTATGGCAATTGTATTCCAGTTTGCTTAAAAAATACATTTTCTTTCTAAAAGCCTCTGTGTTGACTTACAGACTAAGCTGAATTTCCATGTTTAGTGTGGAATTCTTCAGCCCTGGTAGATGTTTTACCACACAAATGTGTAGGAAACTAAGCAGGCAGGGAAAAAAAATTCTTTCTGGTCGTTGTGGTACTACCTATTAAAAATCTTAAACTAGAGGGAGAAAAATGTTTAAATGAAAGCTGAGAGTATGCTGCTCCTCTTTTTGCAGATACAAGAGTTTAATGAAATACAAGGCAGAATTGGAAGAGTTGGAAATAGTTTTAAAAACTGAGAGAGAGGTTCTCCAACAAGAGAGGAGATCAAATGCAATAACCACTGGGGAAAATGAGAAGCTGAGGGAGGAACTGGACAGGTATGGTTCCCTTGCTAAATCCTTGTATAGATCATTAGAAAGTCAGTTATGTAAAACATACAGTTGTTGTATCGTGTTGTGTTAACTGTAGCTCCAGAATACCTTCATTAATGTGTCTGTTATTTTTTCTCAATTTCTGTCTTGTTAATTTGATCATTTTGTTTAACTCATTTAAGATTATCAGCTTCATGGACACTATCAACAAATACTGTTATTCAGAGCTTCAAACATGGTCTGATCCCACGACTTTTGTTCATTCAAAATAAGCTTCCACGTGTGGAAGTTCGCAAGCGTTTCTGTAATGAGTTGTTTCCAAGTGCTTGTCTTTAAGTAGAACTACAAATACTTAAAACCCCCAGTAATATCTAGAGTTGTGTGAAATGGTTGCTACCCAGTTGTGTCCCTCAAGGAGAACTGTATTATGTTTTTTACACAGTATGATTTACTTCTAGGAGTTACCATTGCTGTTTATTTTCTGCTGCCCAGAGAAAGCTGCCATTTGTTAATACTAGAAAGAGAGTTGACTCTTGTTATTAAAAGTGGGCTTAGTGATTCATATGATCATATGGGTAACTGTTAACTCATGTCAAAACCTCTTTTGTGAGCTAGCATCCGAACTATACATAATGCAGCAGTAAAACGTGTCCTCCTCCCCAACTTGTATCCCTGCTGGGGCGCTCTCCATTATAACCAGTTCAGTGCCACTGTTAATACTACAAAAGTGTTTTGAGAAATAGTTTGGTACAAATAAGGGGCCAAGGTCATACCGAGTTAAAGCAATGCCAGACTGAATCATATTTAAAAATCACATGTTAAGTTCAGTCTCAGAAGTTTCATATGCTGTCCCAATTATAATGTACTTTAGAACACTGCAGAGCTCTGCAAAGGAGGTTTCCTTAAGCTTGCTGTTTTCAACTCAGTTTCTCTAGAAACAAAGGAAGATGTTGCAAAATGTTGATTGCAGTGCTGGTGGAGAGCAAGGCTTAGCTCATCTGTCAGCAGATACAGAACTTAATCTTTTTTATTTATCTATTTATTTAATTTCAGGCCTTCATGATTTGTAGACATTTTTAGGTTTACCAAAAGCTGTAAAAGAATGCCACAGTATCATCTTACAACATTGCAATGTCTCATCATTCAGGACACTTTAATGCTTATATTTCATGCATCAGGAAAAAAATTCTGTGAATGTTCTTTATTTGTGCCAAATAGCGATGCCTTTATATCCAAATGCTCTTAAATAAAAAAATTGTGCCTCAGAAATTGGTGGTGTTTCTTACACATTGAGGAAATAGCAGTTTTATGTTTCATCTATTCTCCTTTCAGTTCTTTTGTAGATTTGAAGTGTTTTATAATGCTGTTGCTACTGTCTTGATAAAATTTCATTGTATGCTTAGAATAAAAATGTCTTTAGGAGTTAGTCTTTGGAACTTAATATTTGATTTAGTGACAGCTGCACACTGATGGTGTGGTCTTTGAATATGAGGTACTTTCTATGAAATGTCCTTCATAAGCCTGCTGGCTTCTTTGTGTTTAGGGTGAATTTCTTGCACAACCAACTAAAGGCAGAGTATGAAGGGCTGCATTCACACACTAAAGAGCTGAAAACTTCCTTGAACAACTCTCAGCTGGAGCTGAATCGTTGGCAGGCTCGCTACGATGAGCTTAAAGAACAGCACCAGTCCATGGATCTCTCTCTGACCAAGCTGGATAACCACTGTGAGGTGAGTAGCTATAGGTAGGTATGCTGCTGGGTTCCTGTTAGAGTGCTAACATTCATTGTGTGAAGTTTTTGACTCACTATATATAGAAGGTCAAGCTATGTGGTCGTAGTAATACCCCCATATACTTTGAAGTTTATAGATTCATATCCTAGGTTGCTATGATATTGTGTTAGCTTGATTATGGTTCTTCCAGGGAAGCCAGATGCAGAGGAGAAATTAATCTATCTTGTTTAATAGCTGCTGTCCCGTCTAAAGGGAAATCTGGAAGAAGAAAACCATCATCTCCTGAGTCAGATTCAGATGCTGAGCCAGCAGAATCAGATGTTACTGGAGCAGAATATGGAGAACAAGGAGCAGTATCATGAAGAACAGAAACAGTACATGTAAGAAACTAGAAATTTGAATTGTGAAACTAAAAAAGTCATCTAGACAAACATAGAATACAAATCATCTCTCAGGACTGGAAGGACAGGCAGGGGAATGATAGGTCTACTTGATATCTGGCTAGAAAAGGGGACGTTCAGGAGGAGATATATGTAATGGGGAGAAGCTACAAAATTTCTTTGTATTGCTTTACCGCAAAGGGATGTTCAGGAGACACCTGGAAAAGCACAGATCTTTTCAAATAATATAGATGAACCCATGTGGAAAACTTAATTATAAAAGATGGAATGCTAAACCCAGTGGTACTTCTCAAAGGTTTCTGAAGAGCTTGGAAAACAGCTGAGTTGCAACAAAAATTTAGTCTTATGAGAGTCATTTTGTATATAGATTCCTGAAGAATAGCAAATATTCATACTCCTCTAGGTTTTGTCATGTGCATTATAAGAAATACTTCCTTTGATGTTGTTTTTAAGGAAGCAAGTATCAGCATACATCACTGTGTCCCGCATGCACAGGGTGACACACACAAGTGAGATACCCTGTTGAAACACATCGTACATTTACAAAGAATCCTGTTCTCACTGCAGTGAATTTCTTTTATAGGTATGAAAGAAGGAAGTGTTCTTAATCCCGAGAATTTTAGTCTAAGCACCTCAGGATGATGTGGGAGTTACTGACTGAGTTTTATTTCAGTACTGGATTATATGGTTGAAATGTTAGAAATTGTTTGCTGAAATTGGCTGAATACAGTTCAAATGTACTCTAACCATATTTATCCATGTGTCTGACAGTTCTGTGATGGAGGTACATTAGACCTACTACTTGAATGAAAAAAGATTTGCTAACATCCACTGTACAGGTTAATAAAATAATGAGTAAATAAAATAGTAAGGTTGTATGGCACTCCTGAAAGTGCTTTGACGCTGCTTGCAAGAGACCAAAGTAGTCTTACAAAGATCAAACATTTATTTCTCTAGTTACCACAGAGTAAGCAGAACAGGAATAAAACACCCAGTTGTCATGTAGACAAGAAATTCAAACTATGTAAGGATCTTAACCCGTGAGTAATTGTCAGTGATCTGTGAATAAGACTGAACAATCAGCAAACGAATTTTCAAAAAGCAAAATAAGATTAATCTTAACAACCACCAGACAAACTCTGCCTGAGTTATTAGTAAGTAATCTACTGTTGTTCTTTCACCTTTCATGCTTATTGCACAAAAATCACCTATCAACAAGTTTGGTAGGCTTTTGCATTTGCCCTCTCTAAATACAGTGAATGAGCTCAGTAGGATTTTGAAGGTTATGCGATAGGAAGATTTTTCAGTCTCTTTCCTCTCTTGGTGGCTTTTGGTCTTCAATATTTTGGTTATGCTTAATTTCATACGGATGGTTCAGAATGTGCTTTTCCCTCTCACAGTGATAAATTGAACGCCTTAAGGAGACACAAGGAAAAACTTGAAGAGAAGATAATGGATCAGTACAAGTTTTATGATCCTACTCCAAAAAAGTAAGTCCCATATGGGTTCAGTTCTGCTGTTGTTGTACAGATTTGTGAGGGTGAGAAAGGGCTCTCCATAACTGGAGATAACAGAAATTTAATCTGAAATAAGAACAGTGTCATCTCCACTTCTCTCTTCATTCTCACTCTGCAAGCCATTCTCTGAAGCAGCAGGTTGTGTTAATATAGATCACAGTACCTCACGTGGGGCTCTCTGTTTTAATACTGAAACCTGAAACAGTATTAATTGGAAAAGAGCCACATTGCCCTGATGAATATCATCTTGTCCCTAGAAGTGGGCGGGGGGAGGAGATGGGACCCCCAGTATGGTGACTAAGCAGCAGTAGGAGCTTCCAGAGCTGCTCTTTCAAAGGGGATAAGCAGTCCATCGGAGAGAAAGGACTTAAAAAAATTATGTGAAGAACAACAAAAACGAGCCAAGCTAATTCCACCACACATAGTTCTGACTGATAGCCTTAGCAAAGAGAGGGATTCATCTTTAAAGCCGTTTTCATTTCCTTCCTTCTCAGTCTATTCCTGTAGTAGAGCTTTTCACACTGTTAAAACATCTTATGTGGGTCCATATGTGTAGTTTAGATTTCTAGCAGAGGGAACGGTTGTCTTTCTCACATTTCTCATGCTGAAGAAATATTTCTGTAAAATAATTTTGACTTTGGGAGAGAAATGGATCTCAAGCTCTGTGAAATTCATGCTGCATCTTTCCAACCAATTCATGACAGTAGACAAATAAGAATGTAGGATGGCTTGAGGACTTTAGCACAGCTGTAAACTTCAGGGAGTATTTCTTGTAGTTTTTTATGAATCCCATTCACAAAACCTGCTTTATCAGGAAAAACCACTGGATTGGAGCCAGAGCCTTAGTCAAACTAATCAAGCCAAAGAAGGAGACTACAAGGGAGCGGTTGAAACCAGCAGCAGAAAGCCCCTCATGGCATTCTGAATCCCCAGAGACGGTAAACTCTCCATCTGCCTTCCAAAAACTGAAACATCAACAAGAGACTCAGGATAATAACTCTCAAGGGTCAAACTCCATGGAAGAGAGAGAGAACCCTGGGGGTTCTTCAAACAAAGGTAAGGAATGCCCAGCCTAAATTATGAGCTGAACAGTATTTTTTGAAAAGATTTTAGAAATATTTTTAAGAGATTTAATATATAGGATATGTTAATACTCCATCACGTTATTCTTTATATCCCTTTTTTTCGTAAACTAAAAGTTTTAGTAAGCAAAAAACCCCTAAACTAAAAAGCTGATTAAACTAAAAGGTGGGGGTTTTTTGTTTTGGTTTGGTTTTAGTTTGGTTTGTTCCTTTTACCTACTTCTTCTCCCTTCAGCTTTTGTATATAGTTTCTTGGTTTGCCTGAATTAATTGCATGTTACTGAGTAATTTGGTGAAAATACTTCATTTACTGGGATTTTGCCACAAAGCAGTTTAAAGTTGGACCTTAGAATATCATGGTTCATTAGCAACTATTCTTCAAATGGGTAATAGCTGCTCATATAGCCAATGCCAGGAGATGGCGTACATGCAAAAGAAATAACGTAAAAATGCTAATTTGTTGTTATCTAATTATTTTGGAGGATGATACCATGTTTTGACTTTGAATCAAACTAAGAATTTCTTAATGTAAAATGATGAAATTACTTATTTGAACACTTGAACGTAAGGAAGATGGAATGATTTCTTTTTCTGTTTAGTTAGTTCATACAGTAAATCAAATGTTCCTAATTATGGGAAGTTTAAACAAAAGCTCCTCAAAATAAATACTCTGTGATCTTTATTAAATGTAATATATATTCCAAGCTTTGCTTATTCTATTGAGATTGCTTCTGTCAGCTTCTATATGTAGATCATTGTCCTCCAGGAATACTTTTCAAGAAGCAGTTTTGAAATTAATCCCTAAATAATAATTCCTGTCTTCCCACTGGGGGGTGTGGGAAATAGAAAGGGAGCAGCTGAGGAGGGTAGAACTGTTGTTATAAACTACTGCAAGTGTATGTCTGGCTGAAGTTTTTGTTTTGATTGGGTTTTATATTTCTCTTTCTCCATTCTAATTCTTCGAGGTCGTTGATTCACTTAAAAAAAAAAATGCATGTCTCAAGTCATCCATGTGATTACAGGAGATGTTAAGTGTTTAACATGCATCCAAAGTTCAACCTGGGAATTTGGGCTTGGGTTTCCACAGAACAAGGCCCTCATGGAGTGCCAGAGATAACAGAAAGTCTCTGGGGCTTCATTCTTTTTGATGTTATATGAAACATGCTTATGTTGAGATGGTGAGCATCAGTATTAAAGCCTAGAAGACATCTAGGAAATTTGAGTATATTATCACTAAGTAACATGCACACCTATTTGATTTTCGCTTATTAAGTAAAAACATTTTGGGTGATCTAACAGTAATTTCTTGATGGACTTGTTTATATTTTATGTATATGCATTAATCTATGCGTTAATCTGGGTCAGATTAACTATGATTAATCTGCGTTAATCAGTCCTCCAATTATATGTGTTAGTCTTTGTTTAGCCTTTTTCGTTTTTACTGGTTGTGTAGTCTTTAATCTGTTTTAAGACACTTCAAGTTTTATTTATAAGGGTTTTTTTACTTTTTTTTCTTCTTCTTTTTGGGATACCTGGGTGATAACAATTTAGCTGCGCAGCGCAAAAAGATTGCCTTTTTGAGAAGCAAAATCAAGGATAAAGAAAAGTCTCCTAAGTCTCCATCGAATCATCAGTCTCTCTCTAGTCGGCTCCGGTTCTGGTCTTCTTCCGACATCCCATCCTCTCCTAATGAACCTCTTTCTTTCCCGGAATTGGGAGATTTCTAACACCTTCTCTTTAGCATTTATCTTCATTTATTTCTGACGAATACTTTAAACAAACAAACAAAAAAATCCCACGTGCTTTAAAAGAACACACACCTTGATAGAAACACTCAGCATGTCTTTACAATACTCTAAATACAAGCACAGATTAGTGAACATGGACTTAAGTTTTCCTGTGGAAGATGAATCACTATTGCACACTGTGGATCATTTCTTCAATGCAGCACATTTTTAGGGGACATCATGGCATACAGTTTGCGTATGTATATTGGCTGTGGTGCATGTTTTAAGTAAGTGAAGTTGCTATGCGCTTCGATACTTTCTTGCAGTCACATACTTGCATCGTGTCCAGTTCAAGTGTTGAACTGATTTGCTGTTGCTATGCTTTCTACAATGTTGTAGTCCTAGTAAAATACAAATCTAATATATAAGCAGTCTTAAATCCTGGAGGTTTTGGCAATATTCTGTGCCACTAAATGCTAAAAATGGCAGGTTTTTTAACATCTTTGTCTGCTTTTAAATAGTCTAGCTTTGAATATAGAGTGGAAGCTACTGGGAAAATTATTCTCCGCAAAGTGTCTTGACGTTTGCATTCAAACCTACTGTTTAGCAAGGTTTTACACTTCCAGCTATGAAAATTCATCTTGAATTGAGCTAAAGTTTCAGTTTCTGCTGCTTCAGTTTTGACAGATTTTTTTTTGGAAGAAGAAAATAGATTTGTTCTCTTAAGATTGGGAATAACCTTCATCATGGATCCATTGCCCAGAATTCTTACTGCCTGATAGTCATGACCTGGTGGCTTCTGAAATGAATGCGTGGGTCCAGTCCCCAGTCTGTGTTAGAGAAACGTATGCACCATAGGCAATACGCTACGGAGAGCTCAGCAGAGAGCCAAAAGATTTCATCTCCCTTCTCACTCTGAGAAGTGGTCCCTCTGTGGCACAACCAGGGACACTGGCACAGCAGCCTGTTGCTGCTCATTTTGGGATTTGTAGAGAACATTTGTCTCCAGGGCAATTAATAATTCTGGCATCTATGGAAGGTGTTAAGTGCATCTGCAAAGTCAATTAGAAATACAGATTTGCATGGCAAGCTTTAGCCAGTAATTGCCCCTACAGGTGTGCCATAAACCTCAATTCTGAGAGAAAGTGCCAGCCCTGTGCTATGGAGCCCACACAGACTGTGGGAGAAAACATTGTTTCTGAAGTCAGCTTCCAGGAGTCATCTAAGATGACACTAACTCAGTCCATTTCTCTAATACAGCTTTGCTGCTGCCCTGTGCTTTGAACTAACTGTCTGTCTCTGCAAGTTGTTTATTTTGACCACTGCACTCTGCCGTGTTTTCAGCATTTAGTTACTATTAGTTAAGCAAGTACTCCATAGAAATATATAGAAAACTAGAATCTTTCCATCTCATTAAGGGTGCTTCCTATAGTAAATTCTTTAAATTTTGTTCTATTTTATGTGTGCCTTAAAGCATTATATTCAATTACAAGAAATGAATTAACCTACCTCATCACTAGGAAAGATGTCTTCAGCCTTCTGAATCTAAATAATATTCTAGCAGGTAGTTTTTGTTGTTATCATGCTAAGATCCCAGGAATTCCACTTAAAAATCATTGCACTAGAGCATCATAAGAGCAGCAGAGTTTTAACCTTGTAGAAACTGAGCTCTTACCACAGCAATGATCTGAACCTGAAAGCAATTAGCTTAGTGTGTGGATTGTACTAGGTAATTTCCAAATAGGCGTTATTTCTCTTTGAATAAAAGTGTGACTTTTCCTTATTCTATTTTATTACTGAAGTTTACATTGTAAAATGTACCTGCAAGGAATAATGTTATGGGAATTTCACACCTCACTTACCTGCATTCATGTCTTTGCTCCTTTTCTTCCTCCTTTCACGGTAATTGTTGCATGTATAATATCAACCCTCCCACTGGCACTAAGCAGCCCTTGTCACTCCTACACTTTACAGAGAGCACACATGATTGAAAAACTGGTGGCAGAAATTTCCTATCCAATATCGAACTGTTTATGGAAAAGCTTGCAAAACTAGCGCCTCTGTTGTGCAGTTTCTTTGTGCCTGCTTGTCATGTTTGTATGGGCAGATAAATACAAACGTCCTAATGCTATTTTTCATTGTCTCGTATTTATTTACCTCTCTCCCCCTCAGTGTTAATGGACCTAAAGCAAAAGAGGAATTCCCATCACGGAGGCAGCAATGATAATGTTGAAATCTCAGCAGACTCTGCGACAAAACACTGCTGTGTGGAGCTGGGTCCCAGGACTTACTCGACCTCAGCTATTCATCTGCACACTTCCACCCCCATCTCCAGGCTCCAGAGCAGACCAACAGGTGTGCGGTCCATTTGATATACCAGCTGTTAGTACAAGTCAGGCTACTTCGTAGTTCCTGTGTGGGTGAAACATGACTTTTTAGTGGCATTCAAGTACAAAACCAGAGCGCTAGTATTTTCACTCCTACTTTATCTGTTTAATGGTTTCATTCATGAGATACAGGGTTTCCTTACTCTTGTAACATCATCAACTTGACAGATCACATTTGGGTGTCAGTTCTCCCGTGCCCAGTGGTTCACAGCAGTAGTTAGTGTTGGCTCTATAAAACCCTCTTGATCACCTCAGTCTTCTACACTGCTAGAATGCATTGGAGACTGACCTGAAGGATTAACCTTCCTGTGTTTTAATATTGCCTTTTAAGTTTTGTGTTCTTTTCAGACTATAATTCAGAAGATAATCTATGTGAACAGTCCCCTGAGCTGGAGTTTGCAAGCACCAGACAGCACGGTAAGCTTGTAGCATATATGAATGCTCTAAACCTCTATATTAAGAGTTGTTACGCTGCATCGACGTGAACTGTCCTGCTGCATTTTAGTTAAATTAACATGATAGAATGAGATGTAGTAACACAGCACCATTTTGGTATACTTCTATTTTTCTATTGAGAAGCTTTTAATGGAAGTTTTCCCCAAAAAAATTTTCAAAAACAATGCTGACTTTGATACCAGTTGCCTTGCCCCAGCAACAGGCCCTTTAATGCATGTCCTACAGATTTGTTGCTGATTTTTCTGGACAATGTTCAATTCCTTCCTTAAGGGAGTGAATCAGCAATTAAAAATTTTGGGGTGGGGTTGTGGATGCACGGCGGGATCACTGGTGCAGCAGCAGCACTGCCTGCTTAGAGATTTGTGGAAGACTTAATTTGCAGGCTGGTTCCCAGCTCCTTCCAAAGAAACAAACTGAGAAAGACACAGCAACTTATTGTTGAACTTCTTCAGTATTTACGTTACTTTGTTTGCAGTTGCTGTAAAAGCAAAACCCAGAACATATTTGTTTTTGCAAAAAATAAGTGAGAAAAACAAGATGGATCCTGAACAACTTGATTTGAAAAATGAAAACGGTTTCTGCTCTGTCCAGACTTTGGCATCCTGTGTATATTACGTTGTTAATGTTTTCAAAGTGACTTGGTTGCACAGGTCCTATTTTCAGAAGGCAGACTGTAGCCAAGTCTTCTCTTTTAGAGAATCAGAGGAACTTAAGATCTGTTTGTTCAATGCTTGTTTTGTGTTTTTCAGTGTCCAGGCCAAACAGTTTAGAGAGCAGTAGAAATGCTTCCAGCAGTAGTTCACCTCTCAATTTGAAAGGTAAAGCTTTTACAGCTGAGTTCTGACAACAGGAAGTGAAATTCCATGAAACTGTGTGCAAAATGTCGTTTTCCTTCCAATTAAATTTGAAGTCTGTTGTTTTGAAATTGTGATGATTATGCAATCTGGACATGGCTGTCTTGGGACTCAAAACTGCTGGCAAGAAGTATTTTTCTAAGATTGATTCTGGCAAGAGGTAGCTTTTAAGGCAGGCAGTCTAGTTTTGCTTCAGTCTAACTGGCATCATATTGTGGGAAATACCAGGCTGCTCTTAGACTCCTTTTACAGCAACAGGTCTCTGCTGTTCTTACTCTGTACACAGTTTGTGTATGGAACCAGTGTGCTCTGGAGATTTGCTTTTGCTGAAATTGTGCATCTTGAAGGATGCCAGGAGACCTGGCACTGTGGAAAAATCCACTTTCTGCTTTCCCACTGGCAGGTTTTGGCTCTCAGATCACACACAGCCAAGACTGGGAGATCTTCTAGTGGCACAGAGGTGGTAAAGAGGCCCCCTTACTATCTGTGTTATTCCTATTCTTGGACAAGTAGTTGTGCTCGTTTAGCACAAGGGCTCAAAGTATGTGCTGTAAGTCATTTACTAGTCCTGATTTTTCAAAGTTCTGACTGCCTTGAGTTCTGTGGGAGGAGAAAGTAAGGTCAAAAATGCCACCTAGTCTGTGTGGAAGTGGCCCTGAATGATAAAGTTCCTACCTCAGTGAAAAATCTACTGAAATGAGGGAAGAACAGTGTCTTTAATGATATTTATGCTTCTCCTCAGGTTCCTTAGATCATATCCATGGTAGAACCGAGAGCCTCAGCAGTGAAGATATGGTGCCCAGCAGAGAGGCACCAGCCTTGCTCCGAGACACCTATCCCTTTCACTCCCCTTCTGCAGTCTTAAGCCCTAGCAGCAGGCATGAGTCCTCCTCCCACAGGAATGGTTTGATCTCTTATGATATACCTCAGAAGAGTACTCCATCCCAGTCTTACGCAGGCAGGCAACACTCTGCCTCACCTGGCAGTGAGATGGTAACTTTGGAAGAGTTCTTGGAAGAGAGCAACAGGCTGTCCCCACCAAGTGTAAGTAAATAAAGCTAGATAGCCCATCGCAGATGTCAAAAAACTGTGCAAAGCTGATTCAGGGGGATGAGAGCATAGGGAAACAAGGAAAGACAAGAAGTTGCTTGTTCATACGTGTGGAACTTGCAGAGAACTATCGAATCTTGGAAAATGGATGAAACAGTTCCAAAAACTAAGGCAAGATTAACTTTCACACAGCACTCTGCTAATTATTTTGGTGTATCAGCTGTGGCAAATCAGGCAGATAATTCACTGCAGTACTATGTACTGGACTGCTGGGGTTTTTTAATATCAAACACTTGTGATCAAGGTTTCGTATTATATCACTAGTTCTCAGCTCCAGGTATTTTTATTTGTGAACTGATAAGTTTTCTGTGTAATTTCCAGCTGCTAAATCTGTAATTAGAAATGAAACCTAACAGTAGTTTTCAACTGAAGTGTAAAATATGCAGTTGTTAAAACCATCTCCTAATCTGAAAATACCATCAGTGCATTTGAGAGAGAATGTTTTTCTTGCCGAAGGAAGTTCTCGATGCTTTCACCATGCTGCATGTTTGTGTGCTGACTGGCACTGTTCTCTTGGTTCAATGACTGCAAGAATATGCCACACACTGAAGTGTTTTGTCAGAAATGAAATGTTTGTTTTCTAGATGGCATTTGTCTTTTACTGCTCAGACATGCTGTACAGTAGTGAGGCGGTGCAGTATTGGGCATGTTAAGATCTTTAAGAAAAATTCACTGATAGTGTAAGTGAACAGATGTTTCTGTTCCATGAATGCCTTGGTAACAGTATTGAAATCAATAGAGCTGTACCATTTTATGGCATCAGTAAATTCTGGTCCTTGAATTTTCAGAGCAGTATTTACATATACCTCCTATTCTCTCATTATCCTAAATACAATTCTTAGCTTTTAGAGATGTTTAAAATTTGATTTTTTTTTTTTTTTTTTTGTCTGTAACTACCTGACCATGTCTCCTTTTTCATTCTTTCTGTCATCCTTGTTCCTTTTCAGCGTCGGCGCAGTTTAAATGAGAGTGAAATGATTTCATTGCACCAATTTCTGTTAGAAGCTGATGCACTGTATCCCTCTTGCTACTCCCTATGTCCTTCCCTCCATCAGGAACCTTCGCAGTCACTCGAATCAGTCCTCAGTCGTTCATGTCCCAACAGCGTGAGGCACAGAACAGGCAGGGGAAATAGGAGATCTACTTCACTGTATATCCCCAGGGTATCCGTTGTTCTTGCTATGAAGGCAACAGCTCCCAACTTACCACGGCTTTTGCTCGCATATTAATACCTATAGAAGCATACTTAGCTGTTATTTTAAAGGCTGCCAGATCACTTGCATTAATTGCTTGTAAAGTATTTCCAGTGCTTGTTCATAAACGTGTGTTTTTGGAGAACTAGTTATTCTATAATGTTGATGTGTGTAACAGAAGTTTAAAGTGAAGTTACAAATAACCCTAACACTTGAACATTTACATTGAGCATAGAAATCTTCCTGCTGCACTATTACCATTGATGGTGTTCACTTCTAGCAGTGAGTTTTGTGACTGGAAGAAGCGTTTGGAACGCTAGTGAAATGAATATATTAAGCTTTAACATACTCCCTCGAGAAAAGTAAAGAAATAAATTCCATGAGCTTGTTTCAGCACATTTTTCAGCATGTCCCTTAACTATTCTGAGCATGCCTCATACTAATAGTCTAATGGCAGCTGATCAAACATCACCATTTTTGGATTGCATGGACCATCCCCATGAAATATTCATTGTATATTTTCTTTTACTGCCAGGTTAATTGTCTGACTTGAAATTTTTAAGTTAATTGTGGGCAAGCAATAATTTCTCCATTTTTGTAATCATTTTTTGTACATTTCATTATATTGTACATGCAGCTTTTAACATATATAGTATATTGACTGGGAGAGGTGAGGGGAATCGATGGAGAAGCAATGAAACTTTTTTGTAATGCTAGCACATCTCCCCAAGGTATTCTCTCCTGTTATATCCCTGAAGTTACAGTAGAGTGTTATCCAGATGAACTGTATTCTGGAAGATGACAGACCATCACTGATATCTGCTGATACCAATGGCTGTCATTAACATGATATTGATGTTACAGTGGCTGATGTGAAAGGAAGCAGAAGAGCTGCTGCCCAGGTTGCAAGTGAGATGAAATTTTTTAAATTTAAGACAATTAATCTGGCAAACAAGGCTGTCATGGTCTAAGTATGATGACCATTTACTCCTTGATTTGGATTTCTACCCATTGTAAACATTTATATCTTCTGTTCCCCACTTTAAATATAAAATCTATCGTTGTTTTTGGATTGAATTAAGTGGGAAGGAAGATTATCTGAACACAAAGCTCTGCATGATTCTTTAAGCAAAAAGTGACAATTAATGTGGCATGTGCATATTTTCTCACACCAGGACACCTCCAATAACAGAGATGACTTGCTCACTGATTATTTTGGGAAAGCAAATGAGCCTTCAACTGCTGGGAACCTGCTGGTTCAGCCATCCAGAAAGGAGGCTGCTAAGATGCCCACTAGTCTTGTTGCTCCAACTGTAAAGATGACCATCGCCAATGAAGAAGGAAGAACAGCTAAGCCTGGAGATTACATGAAGCCAAACCTCAGACAAGTCGAACCTGAGCCTCTGGCAAATTCCCAGGGGTCCCTTAAGCTTTCTCACACGCCACAGCACCAGCCCGCCAGTGGGATGCGGCAGATGGCACAGCCTCAGCAGCCTGGAACCGCGAGCAGGAGGACTACATCACTGAGCAGGGCATTTAGCTTAGCCTCTGCAGACCTCCTCAGAGCCACCGGCCCGGAGACATACAGGCAGGAGAGCCATCAAAAGTCAGCAGCAGACCTGCGTGGGGGCAAGGATGCTGTCAGTCAGACCGCTAGGGCTTCTGCGCCAATGAGCTCCCAGGCAGCCTTAAGAGAGAGGCCACAGTCTGCAAAGGTGGCAGGTTCCTTGCAAGGTGTTGATTCCCGCTGTCGGCAGCTTGATGCGAGGCGCCTTTCCCTGGCCTCACCAAAAGATGAGAGGCCACTCTCCTTCCATCAGTTGTCTGCCTCACCCACTGCATCCACCAGCAATCTGAATGTGCAGCAACAGGAGCGTGTGAACCCTGGGCAACACTACTCACCCGCATCGCACACTCCCTCTAAAGTCAAACCCAAGCCAGCCCCTCGTACTGGGGAGGTGGCCACAGTGGCCCCTGCCAGAGCTGTTTCCAGCAGCACCGAGGGAAGTATTTCCCTAGGGCAAGGCCAGGGTGATGCCCTACTTAAAAAGTGCCAGGGTAAGCTGCCAGAAGGCAGCGCTGGGGCTATGGAGGAGCCCGTGAGAGGAAGCAGCTCCAACAGCACTCCCGGGTCTCCGGATCCCCAGGGGGATCAGCAGACGGTTTGGTATGAGTATGGGTGTGTGTAACCCACGGATGCAGCTAGTAGTATGTGTGTTTGGCATTGCTGATGTCCAGGTAGCATTTGTCTAGACACTGTCCCAGGTCTCAGAGGCATCAGCTGCATGCTGCTCTGAGTGTTCTGTGGGTTCTGTTTTCTAGTTGGACAAAGTATGATTAAGAGAAACAGGAGCAAAAAACTCCAGCCCTTCTTTTGACATTGTTGTGCCTAAAACAAAGTGGAAGCCTGATCTAATCTCACAGTAGGCTTGGCACCTGATTCTCACAGGTGCTGAGCATCCCTCACTCCAGGAGAAGCTTAGCAGGGTCCTCTGTCATCGCTGCACTGTGCACCCCTTCTACCTGCATTAAAGAAGAGTTTCACAGGTCGTGTGTGTGTGCTGAACCCAGTCCCACCATTGATAAATAACTTAACCATACTGAAAAGGTCACGTAAAAGCCAAATTTCTCCCCCAAAGACAGAACCAGACACTTGGCTTAAGTAGCTTAAAGAGAAAGCTGAAGAACAAAAGTGTGTGGCTTTAGCCATGGATCTGTTAAAATCAATTGTTCTTGCCACAGCCACATTTTATAGAGGTAACATGTAGACTTCAAGGGTCACATCTTCATCTTCCCCGCTGGGACTGCGTAAACACAGAGAGGCCAGTGTAATTACCCCACTGCCTTCACGATAGCTGCAGCTCAGTGGATCCTTGTCTCTGCAAGCCAAGTGGTGCTGCATTTTGAAACTTATTTTATCTCTTACACAAACACTGGAACTAATGCAGCCTTTCAGGGGAGATGCCATTTCAATTGCAAAGGTGGCATCTCATGTACAAAAGTGTCTTGTAAGTATGTATATAAGAAGCTCAAGTATTGTATAGGAATGCTGTGTAAATTGTATTATTACATCCTTGTGTGCATGACAGCCCACATCCTAAGCAATATGTGGGATTTTATCTCTTAGAAATCCTTGTTTGTGTCTCCAAGAACTTTTCTCACTATAGAAAGCAAAATAATTTTGTATACATGTGAAAGAAATATACTTTTAAAAAATCTATTTATGTGGAAAGAAGTTCCTTGTATGTTTCAGTCCAGAGTGTCATCAGCTGCTTATGTATATATGATCAAATGTGTATCTTTAATTCTATTTCATGTTTGTAAAACTGTTTTTCTTGCAGTAGACTAAATCCTTAAAAAAAAAAAAAAACCCCAACTTGTTTTGCTTGTTCTGATTTAATCTAGTAAAAGCTAAAACTGATTCAGCTGAGGATGTTTATGTTATCTAGTATGTAGCAAACCCATTCTGGAAACTACAAAATTGTTTATAATAAAGATTAAAATAAAATAGATGGATGTTGTACTTTTTTTTCCTTGGGGGGGAGGAGGGAAACAAACCACGATTTGTGGTGCTGGATGGAGATCTGTCTGCAACAGTTTTGTGTAAGCCTCAGTATTGATTGGCATCTCTGTGTGGCAGAGTTGCATTTGTTTTTATAATGTTGCTACAAAAGACATACAAGTGATCTTTCCATTTGATCGTAACCTTCTTACTGAAGACTTCAGGAGGATTGATCATGCAAAATAAGTGACTTCCAGAATCAGTAGAATCAGACCTTTAGATTTTTATGCTTCTCTGACCACTTCAGACAGTGCCAAGCATGCTGTCAATTTTGACCAAGCTTGCATTTTGTACAATCTGTTTCGTGCTTAACGCTCAGGATGCCTTGCAAACGTGAGAAATTATTAATCTTTGAACATGAAGAGAATGGCAAAAGGAACTTTCTGCCTTCTCTGCTTTTTTAATTGCAAACCATAGTTTTGCAACAATTTTAAAATTATGTGCTACACAGCAATTTTAGAACATACTGAGTCTTTTTGGTAAACTGAAATTATTCTTCCAGAAATTCCCTCTCAACATTGATTCTTGGCCAGATCACTAAAGGTGAAAGACTGGTGTTTGTCCCTTGTTTCAGCTCCTTTTGGGAGGCATGTGCTCATTTGCTGTGCAGGCTGGACTGCTGAGGAATTGATCTGTGGGTTGTCAGTTACTGTAGATCTGCTTTTGCTATAAATACCTGCCCAGTCACTTACACCGTAGTTGTCATTTTCTGAATTATAAATAATTATTTACTTTCTCAGTTCCAGTGAGTTTGAATAAAAACATACTTAATACTTACATAATACCTTTCAAGTATGGGATAATTTTAAATACAAATGTTATAACATGAAACAACTGTTGAAGCACACAATGCTGTGGTGCTTGGGCCTTCCTGAGAACATTCAGGAAAACTTTGGTACAGGTGCCTGTCCTGCCACAGCAGGTGCAGTCATTTTGCAGTCTGCTCAATTCATTAATTGTTTTCAACTCTTCTTTGATAGATGTGGTGGCTCCCAGGTAAGAGCCACCATCAGGTAAGAAATGGGGTGGGAGGGAAAACGAGGCCTGCCCACAGCTAGGATGCTGCTACCCTTTGCCTTTCTGGGGTGCCCAGAGCAGTCGTTGGCAGGATAAATGGGTGTTTCTGTGTGTCACAGCTGACATGGGAGAGAAGTCAATTGTGTTTAGAGAGAAAGTGTAATCAGCAAATCCTCCCACCCTTGTGCCAGTGGAGCTGGGCAGGTAGAGCTGGTGTGAGGCGCTGGCTTGCATGAAGTGGCAGGAGCTGCCGGGAGAGGTTTTTCGGTGAGGGAAAAGTGGAGGGGGCAGAGCTGCCAGACCATTTCAGGCTTCTCCATCACTTCCAAGAAGAAAAGGGGAACTATGATGAAATAGCTGTTTCGATTTGCACAACTTCAAAAGCTACTGAGACCCACCATGCGGGGCAGGCAGCTGGGCCCAGCTGTGGGGAGTGCCGGCAGCAAGCTGGCGAGCCGTGCACTGGTACGTGTTGAGCCCCGGGGAAGAGGGACCTCTCTCTGTAGGAGCCCTGGCCTTCAGCAGTTCAGCAGACTTTTCCTGGCTCTGCTGGGCAAGGGGCTGTAGGATGCTGATGTTTCCTGACACGGGGGAAGCGTGTGCTCTCTGAAGATTGCTGATTATGTGTGCTAAATAATGCTGTGAATGGTTCTGGACGTAAAGCTTCAGGTAACTTGTTCAACAGTGGAGTGCCTCAGTTTGTGTATGTGGCTCATTAACTCTCTAGATCATGCTTTCTGTTAAAGGACAGATTCTTGAAGGGGATTCCATCCCAAAGAGGCAGCTAAATAGCCGATGGGTTTCTGAGAAAGCCAAGGGGCTGTGCCGTTGGCAACACCCACTCCCTGCAGCGTGCTCAAACTCTGAAGTCAGTGAAGCTGTTTAACCTGAGGAAACAAGTTTTGCTTAAATTTGCTCACGCTGCATGACGATGGTATTTGCTTGAAGTAACAGAAATGGCTGCTGTGGAAATTGCTTCTAGGGAGTTGTGTGCTCTGCAGTGACAGAGTATCTCCTTACCAAGAAGTCTGAAGCCCAGGTCCTTTAGATACACCTTGTCATGGAAACCTTCTTCCTATTAGATATTCTTCAGCTGTTCCTCAAACTTGGGAGCTGATTGTGAAGTGAACAGACATTTTCTGATTTCAGTTAATTGAGTTCAGAACATAAAATCTCCAGAAGAGGATTAAAAAGTAGAATTTAGTTTTTTCTGTAATGAGGGAAGTTCCAAGTGCATTGTAAAAATGGCTAGTACTTAGCTTAGAAAAATGACGCATCAAGGAATACCATGTGGTTGGAAATTATTTCTGATCATCCAGATGTTTGGGAGCATATTAGAAGTTCAGCCAAAGGTAAATGACTTTAAGACAGAACATGGAAAAAATGCTCCAGAAATCGTTAGTTCCTGTGAAATGACTACAGCCTGGATGTTAAATGGATGTAAAGAGATTAACACAATTTTTCTTTTTTTTTTTTTTTTTGTTAAACATGAACCCAGCTGTGCTGAAAGCATTTGAATGCTTTTGAAGGTTTTGCATTTTTAGATGAAAGGGGAAAAAAAAAATCAGTTGTGGTAAGCTTCACCAAAAAAATTTATCCTAACAATTGCTTCTTTGCCCATCAGAGTAGTGGAATATCAGATCCTGGCAGCACTAGAGATGTTCAAGGCAAGGTCGAAAACTTGGGAATGTTTTTACAAATTGCCAGTACCAGGCAGAATTAACCTGACCTAGCAGTGCAGAGTGAAATAGTTCAGTTATCAAAAATAACAAATGAAGTTATCGTTATGAAGGGTTGCTAGACTGGAGAAATAGACTGGGCTGTGAAGGTCTATCTTGAAAGCTGGTACTAGAGGCTGCCATAAGAACTAAGGAAGAATGGCATCAGCTGGAAAGTGGTGAAAAAAATTATGATTTAAGAGAGTACTGGTAGGAGTCTAAGGTGACTGGGCCAAACTATGGCAAGTTTTGCAAAACTAAATGGTGTCTTTCCAGTCACAAGAATTTCTTCAGAAGTATGAAGAGAAGAGTAGACAACAGAGAGCTGCTGTTTAAAAGCTTCTCAAATGGGAAAGTCCTTAAAAGGCTAACTTGGGTCCTAAAGACAGTGAAAGATGAGTTGATGAAGTGTGACACAAAGTTGAAGTTAGTTCGGATTTGGAGGACTGTGAAGAATCCCATTAAAGAGTAACATGGATGAGTGGGCAACCCAGTGGCAGACTACCTGTGCTTCCCCCTGCTGAAGCTGTGGAAGGGACGGTTTATTGACTGTTGGGGTTTTTTTGGGGGGTAGTGGTGGGGGAGCGAAATTGGTTTTTACTGAGAACACGACAATGAAACTGCGATTATTCCACAGAAACTAGGAACCTAAAACATGTCCAAAACAAAACACAGAATGCCATGGAAACTAATGTCCGCTCTCTATCATTCCCACATGCTGTTCTGATCAACTCTAGTTAAAATACTTGCATGTTTTTAACCAAACATTATCATAACTGAGGATTACGTAGCTCTGGTGAGGCTATGCCGAAGTACGTAATGTGTGTGTTGCATACCAGAATGGGGAAGAGCAATAGATCTAAGCGTTGGCATTAGCCTGTGAAAAACATGT